CCTGCTGCTCAGAGCTGGCGTCCCAAGGCAGCTCTTAACCAACGCGCCACTTGGCCGGCCTTTAAGTTTTGATATAATAAAATTTATCTTTTATAGTTTGTGATTTGGGGGTTGTGTTTAAATAGTCCTTCCTTAGGTTACATATATCTATATTATAGACTGAATGTTTGTGTCACCCCCAAATTAATATGTTGAAACCTAACCCCTAATGTGATGGTATTTGGAGGCTGGGCCTTTGGGAGGTGATTAGGTCATGAGGATGAAACCCTCATGAATGGGATTAAGTACCCTTATAAAAGAGGCTCAAAAGAGCTCTTGCTCTTCTGCCACACGAGGACACAGCCAGAAGACAGCTAGACAGCTGGAAGCAGGAAGCGGGTCCTCACCAGACACAGAACATGCTGGCACTTTGATCTTAGACTTTCCAACTTCCAGACTGTGAGAAACACATTTCTGTTGCTTATAAGCTAACCAGTCTATGGTATTCTGTGTTTTGTATAAGGGATAAAACATGGCTGATGTCTAGGACCATTATGTGTATAACTCTAGGTATTATGTAATTGGTGGAGCTGTGTAATACACAACCTGTGTGACTATGCATGGCTGCCCTGACAATAACCATCATCTCTCTTCTGCAGCATCTATAAAGGCCTGTCATATAAATGCCAGCTATTTTTCAGAGCTGATAAAGTATTTTACTTAATTGATGAATTGGTATGTTCTCACTTCTGTTTGACTACCAGGAAGCTCAGAGATAAGCTTTGTGTTCAGCAGTGGTAGCTTCTCCTAACCTGGGCTCTTGAGAATAATTATTTACCCCGTTTCCTCAATGTTCAGTCCCTGCCTTTTTCCTTCAATTTAAAAAATTTTGGTAAAGTACACATAACATGAAATTTATAATTTTAACCATTTTAAGTGCACAGTTCAGTAGTATTAAGTCCATTCATACTGTTGTACAACCATCACCACTATCCATCTCCAGAACTTTTTCATCTTCCCAAACTGAAACTCTGTCCCCATTAATCAGTAACTCTTCATTCACTTTCAGCCCCTGGCACCTGTCCTTCTTTCTGTCTCTATGATTTTGACTGCCTCATATAAGTCAGCCCTTGATTTTTTATACTTGCTTGATTAGTTGGACTTTTATTGCAAGCTGCCTCAGATCCTAGTTTTTTGAAGCAAGCTTGGTATAAACAAATAAAATCAGGATGGTAATAATTAGGCACCAGGGAAACACAGAGAAAACCTAGGACAGGCTTCCTCTGCCCCCTCCAGCAAATGAGTATGGCTGAGGAGGTAAAAAATGAAACCCACAAGAAATGTTATAAAAGGAATCTTAAGTCTCTACCCCTGTCTTGGAGATTTAGATTCCATGAGGCTGGGCCTGCAGGATGACAAGGAGCTATACTTCTACTGGAGTAAAAGCCAAATGACACAGGGGGCACCTGGATTTGAACCAGGGACCTCTTGATCTGCAGTCAAATGCTCTACCCCTGAGCTATACCCCCAGATGCTATATCATCTTAATAAGATAATGTCATGATTGCAGTCTTTCCCAAGCTCTGGTCTTAGCATCATGTGTTTCCCTGGGAAGCTGCCTGAACTGGTGCTCTGGACACCCACCTGTCAGAAGCTGCTCCCTTTCCTCAGAGTCTGTGCACCTATGTTCACCTGAGCATCCCTCTTCCCGAGTACTTCTCACCCCCTCTATTATTATTATTATTATCATCATCATCATCATCATCACCATCATCATTATTATTGGGTACAGGAAGAGTTCTACCCATTCTCTTAATATCTAAGATGCTTTCTTTCTTTTTTTATTTTCTCCATCTCCCATTCTTGGATTTTGGTTTCCTTTCCCAGGGTCCAAGGCCTGGGACCTATTAGAGGCTCTCAGCAGCTTGGCTTACCCCAGGGGAGGTCCCTAGCCAAGAAGGCTGTAGCCCTAAGTTTCTGGAGAAAGAAGAGTGGGTAAGGACAAACCCAGATGCCAGCATAGCTAGAGGGCCTGGGACTGAGCACCAAGCCTACTTGTTCTCCTCAAGGAGCCCCTGGTTTGCAGTAACACATTTGCTAATATTCAGCCATTGTGGAATTTGTTTGAGCCTTTCTTAGTGATGTTGTACTATACTATTAGATAAGATTTTCTACTATTTAATTTAGATTATTCTGAAGTGAGATTGGCCTACCCTAATGGAGGAGGATGGTTCTTTGGTCAAGGGTATCCAGGTAGCTGAGCCCCCGATAGAACCTCCATACAAGCTCCTGAGATCCATATGGAGGAGGAAGTAGGCAAGTCAGCTTCCAAGGCTCCAGACACATGAGGAGCTGCACATGGCAGTCTGCCTTTCTCTAAAAAAAAAAAAAAGAGTTAAGAGTGTTGGCAAGTGGACGATTTTTTCCAGGATGATAAACAACACTTTGGTGAATATGAACATACATCTGTGGTCAGTCTCAGAACACGTCCCCAGGATTGATTCCTCACAGTGGAAATATCAGGCTCCCAGGACATCCCTCAGCACTGCGGCTCCGGCCAGTCTCGGTGGTTCCCATGTGCTCGCCCCTTCACTTCCTCCCCCCACAGTCCTGCCAGATGACAACATCCACTCTGCCCCTCACCGAATACTAACAATCGGCTTCAGAAATACGCCCAGAAATGCTGAACTGGCAGAACCATGGAGGTGTGGAACATTGGTTCCCAGACCCACAGCCCCAGACCCTGAATTTGTAGATGCAACCTGATTTGACCGGGCTCTCAGCACCTCGCTAATGAGACTCTCAAAGACGGAGACATAAGAAGCCAGCATGCCCTCCAGGTTATCTGGGAAAACACATCAGCTATCAGAAGGTTGCTTAGTGAGGCTGCAACCAGAGCAAAGGGAATTTTTTAGTAATTATTCCTGTTCAAAGTACCATCCCTGCTCTAGAGGGCAGAACACTCACATCCACCAAGTTGGGAATCTGTGTCCTCACTTAACCCTGCCAGATCACCCGAGTCCTGTCACTCCATCTACTGAACACGTGCATCCGTCCTCCTCCATCTGGGGTCTTGGCTCTGTGATCAGCTACGTGTGTGCAAATCTTAGGCCACCAATGAAGGGGCAGAAGGTATGGAACTTAATTTTTCTACAAAACGACTTGATCTCTGTTTTGTGTCCCATCCTGCTGAGTGGCAGAAATTTAATGACTCAACCTTGGGATGCCCCACACTTTCCCCCGTGTTGCAGCTGAGTTCTGAAGGGGCTTTCGGGGTACCGTAGCATTGGGTGGGTGGACATCTGGCCCTCTACATCATTTTGATCACATTGTGAGTGTGGGGACCTTCTGATCTCACGCTGGTGCCCACTGCATGTCCTCCTCAGTGTCCTGGCACTGCTGGCCATGCCCGTGCAGCACTGGCATGTCTCACGTGGCTCTCTCATGCTGGGACAGAGTTTTCTGCTCAGGTGCCAACCTCTATTCCCTGAATCCCCCAGCACTCAGACTGTTGAAATTTGGGAGCTGAGCACTGACAGTTTGCATTCTGTGGGGTCACCCCTTCCCTGTGGTGTTAAAGGCAGAAGACCCACCTGGCTGGATGAGGGAGGGCTGGATAGCAGCCCTAGAAGGCAGGAAGAGCATCTCCATTATGACCCACCTCACCAGGACTATAGGAAGACCCAGGTCCCTATGGTCTCCCCATTTCCCCTCCATGACCCCATTACTTTCCATTATTCCTAGATAGCTCCAGCAGGGACCTTCCTATGAGCAGCACCAAATGCCTTCCATGAATCATCTCCTTTTATCTGTACATCAACCCTATGAGATAGGTACAATTATTATTCCCATTTACAGATAAAGAAACTATAAAGCTTAGTGAAATTCAATACCCCAGACAGTCTAACTCCAGAACTAAAACTTGTGACCACGTTGCAAGCCTAAGACACAGATTGAACCAGGTCCCTGTCTGTGTGGCAGTGCAGATAAAACGCCAGCCAGTTCCTTACTGTCTGATTTCCCTTCTAAAATATTCAGGAGATAACAGCTCATCACCCATTGCTTTAGGCTATTAGGTGATGTTATGAGTAATTAGGTCACAGCTCACTCTCACTGGCATTCCTCGGGAGAAGTCACTTGAGTGTGCCTGCTCACAAACACAGCTCTCTGGGTCACTGATGGCCAGTCTCATCCACTGCCTGCTGATTCTAGCTTCACTTTCCACGGGGTGGTAGTATCTTCAAGTTTCAGGGGTATCACCATCCCAAATATAAATAAATGTGGGAGGGTCCTCGGAGAAGCTGGCGGCAAGCACATTTTCCCCGAATCTCTGGGCAAGGTGAGCCTTGAAGCCAATCGTCCAGGCGGGAGCCCACTGGCCTAACAGCAGCATAGCTGGTGCTCACCAAGGCGTCCATCATTCGTCACTGTCACCGGGTCCTGTGTTGCTAGTGATGCTGGTGATGCTGCTAATGTGCCAGAAACCATGGTGACTGGTGCTATGAGCGTGCTTCTTTGTTTCTCTTTGCTTTTCAGCGAAGTTCTATTTGAAAATGTCAGCCTGTCTCCACGGTGCCAGGACGAATAAGGTGAAGTTTCCCCCTCACACACCAACTCAGCTTAATTAATGTCAGATGCAAAACCAAATCAGAACCAGAAAATGAAAATGGTGCTTTTGTTAAATTGGGGAGCATAGTTTCCTTCTGTTGTCTATGAAAATATTTATCTATGAGAAAGGAATGTTTTTTTACTTTTATGGAAAATCTCAAATATATGCAAAAGTAGTGGTATCCATCATCTATTATATTGGTTAGGGTCCTCCAAAGAAATAGGACCAAATATATATACATATATATATATATATATGAAATTTTATATAACTAATTACATATATTTATATAACTAATTATATANCCCTTTGAATACTTTGACATTCATATTTGAGGATCCATAAACAGTATTCGGTATTGTTCTATGTGAGTTTTTAAAACCCAAATGGCCGAATGTGTAGGTCGGCATCTTAAATTCTTTTGCACGTGACGTCATGTCTCTGAGAGCTAGCTGTGTCGCTGTTGCATCTGGTACGCTGGACTTGTCAGGTAATAAGAAAAGAAGCCTCATCTTGCCTTTCATTGCTGTCCCTTTAAACTCTCTCGGGGAAATGTTTCTCTTGCCCAAGTGATGTTAACGTCACTTAGGTAACAGAAAGCCCCGTGGTTGCAGTCTGAACTCAGTAATTAAAATGTCCAGTTCCCTGTAGTAATCAATACTCCGAAATTGACTTCAACCTCTCTCCTGGCCTGGACGTGGGAGAGTTGGGACATGGTCCTTCCTACCTCTTTCCCCACCTTTCATCCATTCCTAGCATTTAGGGTGGGGAGAAGGAAGGGTACGGAGAGGAGGACAGTAAGAAAGCTCGTGCTAGGTGAGTACTGCAGGAAGATAGATTTGCTTTCTCTGGACTGGTAAGTGTTTGAAGTTACTCCTGGGGCATCTCCAGGGGGTTCCTCCGAGACCTCCTTTAGGGACATTTGATGGCTCCTGTGACCTGGCAATGAGTTTTGCTCCGGGCTTCCTGGGATCTGTGTCACACAGATGTTCTCCGTTGGGGTCCATGACCCATCCTCTTGGGCAGAGTTTGACATTGCTCCAAATGATTCTCAGGAAAACATCATATGCATTTCATTCCCACCCACTCTGGTGATACCTGCTGGTCCCAAAGAGCAGCCTGGCCCTTCTCCACCTGCAGAGCTGATGGCCAAGGCTCATCCTGACGCCGGACATAGATCAGTGCAAATTCCAACTCTGGTGTATGTCACCAAGCCCTCTAGTGGACTCCATGAAACGCCTTCTTAGCCTGGGTTTGAGGTGACGGGAGAACAGCCCAAGTCTTCCTCTTCAGAAGAGTGGTACTGACAACACAGTTTCCCCGGAAAGTATTCCTCACCAATATTCTGATCTCCAACAACCTGACCCTTTTATACCTTCATGGAGGATGAGAAACGTGGTTATCAGACGTGACTTAGAGATTTCTGCAGGGCTCTTGGTCCCACTCCTACCCGTTTTATCTTCGACTCTCAGTGGAACCTTCCTTTAACTGCTTTATTTTATTACGTCATAGGAGTCCAGAAAGTTTTATTTATCTATTTCACTATTAATGGACATACTAGGAATGTATGCATACTACATTTCACTATTAATGGACATACTGTTTTTTGCAAACTAACTATGGTGGTGCAATGAACTTCTCTGTAGTCTCCCGATGCACTTGTGCTAGCTTCTTAAGGGGATAGACCCAAAATGAAATTCCTGGGTTGTACACGTACTTTTAATTTCACGGTTATAGTTTTATAGAATTTTTATATTTACTTTACTATTTTTATTGTCAAAATTTTCTCCATAGTGAGTGTACCAATTATACTCCCATTGAGAGCAAATGAAAATACCATTTCCTCTCAGCAATTCTCCATCTAGCTAAACCTCAACATATCCAAGGTTTTGAGAGTAAAAAATGGTGCCTCTTAATTGTTTCAATTAATTTTCATTTCCCTGTTTTCTAGCAAAGATGAACTTTTCATATGTTTATCATAAAAATAACCTCATCTGTGCATTGCTTATTCTGTCTTCCATTTTTCTGTTCAGTTAGTTTTCTTTTATGATTGCTCTGTAGGAATTCTTATTTTTAAAATAATTTAAAANAAGCTACAGACCCAGGAAAGCCGGTGGTGTGGTTCCAGTCAGAGTCTGAAGGCTTGAGAACCGGAGAGCCGATGGCATAAACTGTAGTCTGAGGCAGGAGAAGACCAGTGTCTCAGCTCAGGCAGACAGGCAGAGAGCGAATTCTCCCTTCCTTGGCCTTTTTCTTCTATTCAGCCCCTCAGGGAACTGGATGACACCCACCAGCCTTGGCAAGGGCAATCTGTTTTGCTTAGATTTTACTGATTCAAATGTGAATCTTACCTAGAAATACCCTCACAAACACACTCAAAAATAATGTTTAAATAAACTTAAAGAATAAAGTGAAAAAGAAAGTATACGGTGAAAAATCTCCCTCTCACTCATCTAACAAGCCTCCCTTGGAGGAAGCCATGTTGACAGTTTCTTATGTCTTCTTCCACAGTCTGTACATGTGAGTAACTAATGCATAAGCTCTCTCTGACTCTATAAACACAGATGTGCTGCATCTTGCTCTTTTCATCTATTTTAATTGTATATAAAAAAGGCCGCACTAGCCTTCCCAGTCCCATGAGCACAATCCCAAGGTAGAGGCAGGGGGACAGACACTCAGAGTCCCCTTGATGCTGTTACACAGCAGAGGACGGACGCACCATCAGGAAGCCCACTGGGGTAAAGGGAAATTTAGGATAACTATTGGCGGTCCCGAGTTTGATCCAGGGACCTGTTGATCTGCCGTCAAATGCTCTACCCCTGAGCTATACCCCCTGTTGGGACAAACAGGCCTTCCCACTCAGGACTTCACAACAGGGTAGCCACACCCAAGGCACCTGTTATAACTATAAGACCTAATGTTTATTGAGCACTTATAATGTGCTGGGTAAACTGTTCTAAGGGCTTCATATATATTGGTTTGTTGGAAAAGTCATGATGCATTTTTGCAACAAAAAAATATAGAAAAAATACGTCATGACTTTATATATATATATATATATATATATATATATATATATATATATATATATATATATATATATATATATATGACTTCAAAAATTATTTGTGATAGTACTATCTCTACCATCACCACCATCACCATCCTTATCATGGATGACAGTGACACAGGAATTGAAGTGACTTGCCCCAACTCATAAAGAGTAAGTGACGGAATCGAGAGTTAAATGACCACCACATCATCCTGCCTTGACACAGCTGCCCTTTGAGGATGGGTGTTCAGGGCCTTGCTGCCTCAGGGCCAACCCTTGTCCCTGCCCTGTGGCAATCAGCAGTCCCTCTTCCCCTACCTCTCTGTAAACTCTCCCCCTTTTGATAATGGGGGTGCCCAGAAAAGCAGAGAGGGGACCTAACCCAGTGCCTTGAGAGGACCCAGTAGAGGCTTGTTGAAGTAGAGCACTTGAACTGAGATTTTTTTTCTAAATGTGTGAGTGAAATAGCTTTTGTATGAGTAAAGCTTTCACATGGCACAGAATTGAAAATGTGCAAAATAGCATACAGAGAAAAATTAAGACTCCATTATTATTGTGGTGATGATTTTTCAATGCATACATAGATGAAATCATTATGTTCTACACCTTAAAATGTCTACAATTTTATGTCAATGAAATCACATAAAACTGAAAAAAGTTTTAATAAAAATGAAGTAAAAAGAAATCACTCAAGTCTAGTTAACATCCATTACCATACAGTTACAGTTTTTTTCCTTGTGATGAGCATTCTGATGATCTATTCTTAGCAACTTTGAAATATTCAGTATTATTACCTATAGTCACCATGCTGTACATTAGATCCCAGCACTTATTTATCTCATAATAGCCTTGGCTTCCTCTTATGTAAAGTGGGAACTGCGTGCGATTCTTCTTGTGAGGATGAAATAAGAATGTGAAGATCTCTCTCTCCAGAGGGTGAGAGGGAGGTGAGAGTGACCGAGGTACAGTGAGACAGGGTGGGTCCTATTTTCAGTCTAGAGGGGATGCTGGACCTACAGACATCAGGGAAGAGCCAGGAAACCTCAAAAAGAGTGGCACGCAGGGGGCACCCGGATTTGAACCGGGGACCTGTTGATCTGCAGTCAAACGCTCTACCCCTGAGCTATACCCCCACATGTAAACTATTCCTCAGTCATACCTTTATACTCATACAGCCACACCCAGGCCCTATAAACCATCCAGTTTTTCTGCATCTTTCGTTTCACGTCTAATTGTCACTCCAAGTTGGCCTTTCTATTCTGAACCGCAACCCCAAGTTTGGTGACTTGATGATTTGGTCACAACCTTTTGCCCACAGCCAGAGACAACAGGGGTCCAGGGACCCTCTCGTTACCTAGACGAGAAAACCCAGCCCTTTGGGGCCCTTTCACCACACCAAGCTCTGGGTCTGAGCGCCCGGCCCGCCTCGTCTACTCCATCCGTCACCCTCTGTCTATCATCTCTACTTTATCCATCCTTCTTTCTTTTTGCCCTCTTTCTCCTTTTATTTGCCATCTGTCTTTCTTCTTCCTCCTGTTACTCATGGCTTCCTCCCTACCATCTCTCCTCTGCTAGCCACCCAGCCTCTTTAGTCCTTTATCTAATTCAAGTGTTGTCTTTTTCAAACTACCTCCTTACCTGAAATGTAAATGGAAGACAGGCCTAGTAAATAAAAGGTGTGCCATTTAGTTCCAAAAATAAAATAGATGATAAAAGCTAAAGAAGCTGTGACAATAACATTGCAGGATTTGTCTTAGTAAATATTACAACATCTACTGAAACACAAGACTGAAAACAGCACCAGGACAGAGCACTTGAAAGCCAGACCTGGGGATACACCATACTTTACTGGGGGGTGCCAAAAAAAATGTATACAAGTGGACACTTTGGTCAGCGTTGCTCAAGCAGTAGTTTGCCGTAATCAGAAGTATCTGGATGCTGAAGAGAACCACTTTGAGCACTTCTTGTAATTGTAGAAGTCAAACGTGACTTGTATTCATCTTTTGTTATTATATCAGTATATATTATTACAATTTTCATAGTTTTCCTTTCTTAAAATGTGTATACATTTTTTTTGCACCCTCTGTATATAGAATTTTTTTTTTTTTTTTAGCTGAGCCATCCTGCCACCTGGTGGCAGCTCAGCTCGGGCCGCGAATCGAACTGGCAGCCCTATTGCTCAGAGCTCGTGCTCTTGAGCAGCTCTTAACCAACTGAGCCACTCGGCCGGCCCTGTATATGGAGATTTAATAAAAGATAATCACAACCTACCTACCTGTTCAGCTGTCCCTTCCACTGGCCTGATAGCATCATAGTTTCTCTCGCAGATATGCTTAAATTGGCATTGTTTGCTCCATGGCATAAAGGCAAGGACTAAAAAATAAATAGGGGGATTATGGGTGACTTCTTAAACTTTCTTCTTTGTACTCTTCTGTAGTCGTCACAATTTCTGCATAAAATGTATTACTTTCAAATATTAGACAAACCAATAAATACTACAAAGTTAAGCGTATTCCATTCTAGTAATTGCAAGCAATACCATTTCCTATTGACATAATAAATAATTGCTTCAAGACAAAAAGGATCGATGGAATGCTAATTTGAGAAATACGCATTATAATTTACATATAACTCATTCGAGCTTTTATAGGAATAATTATTTCTATTTTGCAGGGGAGGACACAGCCTCATAGCGTCATCTGCCATCTCATCCCCTTCCACATTAGGATGTGAGTCAATCTAAGATATTAATAATGGCTCACTTATGGTGAATATTTACTATGTTGGAGGCACTGTGTGTACCTCTTCCCATTTAAAGAACTCTTTGAAGTCCGTAAAATTGTTGTCTCCCGTGAAGTAGCTAAGATGATCCTCATTTTATAGATGAAGAAACAGAGATTCAGAGGGGCTAAGTAACTTTCATTCAGTCATTCAACAAACAGTAAGCACCACTGCATCCCAAATTCTATTCCAGGCACTGGGGACTCAGCAGTGAACACGGCAAACAAACAAGGTCCTGCCCTCACGGAGCTTCTATTCTGAGAGGTGTCTGGTGACACACAAGCAAACAAAAACACGAACAAGATCATCCCAGGTACTGAAAACACTATAGGAAAACAAGAAGCCAGTGTGTAAAAATTTGGATGCAGAGCATCCGGGCTGTGGGTAGAATGACTGCCAAGACCCGAAGGCGTGAACTAGCTTGAGCATCACGGAGCATAGTATGGCTGCAGCAAAGGGACAGCAAGCAGGACAGGTCTGAGTAATGGTCAGGGAGGTGGGTTTTATTTCATGTGCCCCCTAGGAAAGGGTGGAGCCTGGACTGACCTTACCCAGGGGCCACTACCTCCCAAACCTTCCTGATGGGCTCTCTGCAGTAGACTTGACCCAGGACCTGTCACCTTGGGCCTGTTCTACGGTGACAGGCTTCCGAGTCAGTCTGCAAGCCCTTTTTGGCCACGCATGGAGGTTACTGTTCCTGCGCTGGTGGAGGTGACTTTCTAGCGATGCGCCACACATGAGTTGTGACACACTGTCACTCAGGTACTTCTTCAATTACTACTGTGATGAGTGCTGTGAGCCCACAGAACAGGGCAGAGTGACCCGAGGAAGGGAAGTTAATTAGGAGATGAGTGGGCAGGAGACCCGGGCAGCATGGGCGGTACCTGAACCAGAACTGCAGAGAGAAGCCCAGGGTGCTGGAGTCCAGAAGACAGCCTTTTGTGGGCTAAACAGTGTCTTCCCCAAATTCATGCCCTTCCAGGAACCTCAGAATGTGACCTTACTGGGAAATGGGGTCATTGCTGATGTAATTAGCTAAATTAAGAAGAAGTCTTAATTATTGCAGTAGGTGGGCCCTTAATGCAATATGACTGTTGTCGTTATATAAGAGACACAGAGATAGAGATACACAAGGAGGCCATGTGACAACAAAGGCAGACAACAAAAAAAGACACCAGAGTAATGCATCCACACGCCAAGGGATGTCAAAGATTGCTGGTCGCCACCAGATCGGTGAGAGACATGGGACAGATTCTCTCTGAGAGCCTCTAGTGAGAACCAACCCTGACTTTGGACTTCTAGCCAATCAATTTCTGTTGTATAAGATCACACAGTTTGTGGTACTTTGTGACGGCAGCCCTAGGAAACTAATAAACTAATACACAGCCCAAGATTGGGCTGGAGAGGCAGGCAGGATTTTACCCCAAGGGCAATTTTAACTACTCTTAGGGAGTTAAGCAAGAGAAGACCATGATCAAATGTGCATTTTCAAAGGATTCCACTGGCGGCCCAAGGTTCCCAAAAGCATTCAAATCCACTGAGTGTCAGGCCTCACCACATGGCAGAGGCCACAGTTCTAATGCCACTGCCAGCTTGCTCCTCACTCACAAGCAACCACAAGGTGATTCCCAGCCTCCACCTGACCTGTCCCCTTAAAAGACCACCTCCCCACTTCTCACCTCTGCCTGCAGGTACCCACCTACTTCCCGCAGAGAACAAGTGTAAACTGGTGGACCTTCTGTTTGGCAACATGCATCAAAAGCCTTTAAAAAAAAAATTCCATACTCTTTACAGGGCAATTTCACCTCTTGGAAATAACCAGAAAAATATTTGAAAACGTTTTAAGAACCAACAAAGGTCCACCCCCTCATCAGGGCCCTTCTCAGGGCCACCCACCTCCACGTGGTATAAATACATCTGCCCCTAGCTTAACTGACTTGAGCTTCAGAAGAGCGGGTAGAAGGAAATGCTGCCCGGGGAAAGGTTTTATCAAGCCTGACGCTCGGGCGCATTCCAGAGGCTATTCATTCCCTCCTTCTCGGTCCCCGCGCCCCCAGGGCTTCCTTTGTGCCCGTCTCCTCCACAGTGGCTGTGCGCCTTCGGGGTGGGGCACGTCTCAGCTCCGGGCGGGGAGCCCTGTCGCACCCTGCGGCCTGCCCTTTGTGTGTGCACCACCTGCTTCCCAGGCTCGCCTCTGCACAAAGCACGGGCCACGGAAGCTCGCGGAGTGGGGCCGGGCGGGCCGGGCGTGCAAGGACACGAGGACACACGGAAGAAAGCGCGGTCTCGGGGTGCGGCTGGACGGCTCCGGGACGGCCCCGGAGGCAGGGCCCCCGCTCGGCCCACGCCGGGGTTTCGGGGACGGGCCCCTTCCTGGGCGCGCGACAACGGCCCCGCGCAACCACCGAGAAGCCCGCGTTGCTAGAGCGGCCGCGGGCGGCCAGGTGCGGCGCGGGCCTCCGGGTGTCGCGGGTGCGCCGGCAGGGGGCAGCGTGGCCCGGCCGCCCCACGTGGCGGGGGGCCCCTGAAGCCGTAGCCGCCGCGGCTCCGCGCGTTGGCAGCTGGAGGCTCGGGCCGAGGAATTCGAAAAATGCAAGCCATTAAAAATTAAATGTACAAAAGACATATACATTTATTTAAAATATAAATCTGTAAACCTATAGAAATACATTTTTAAAGTTAAAAAATATATATAGTGGCTTTTATTACTCGCCGGCTCCATCGTCCCGCAGCGTCGCTTACAGCGCCCCTGTGAGACAGACACTGCACGTCCCCCATTTCACAGGTGCTCACTCGGGCCCAGACTTGGAGGGGGGTCGATGGAGTCTCAGGCAGGAAGAGATGGAGCCGGGAGGCCAGCGAGGGAGGCTGAGGACCGTACCCGGCTGTTCCCTGCGGGAGGCAGGACCTGGCTCTGCGGGACTCCAGGGCCGTCCTCAAGGCGTTGGGGGCCTGGGATTAGGAGGGGCCGCTCCCCGAGGGGCTCGACGCCTCTGTGTTGTGTTATATGTGTTTGTATATGCAGCTGCTGTAGGGAGCAGGAAGGCACTGCAGAGCAAAGCGACTTAAAATGAGAGAAAGCCTGTACAAACAGGAGTGACCATCTGACAGCTCACAGCCAGCAGAGGAAGGGTGGCAGGGTTCCCTGGAAGCCACCCATGGCTCCATCTCCCTGAAGCCTAGCTTGGCTGCCTGCCCGCCAGCCCGTGGACCCCATACCAGGGGGCTGGGTGGCCCTCCTTCAAAGGCAGGGCCGCCCAGAGGATTTTTGTCATCACCCAGGCACCAAAAGAGGATTTTGCTTGTGAGCCGGAGGCTCTACCTAATATTTGGGCTGAAATAGCAGAAGAAATAAAATACATGTTTATTATATCTTAGCTTTTGGATTAGCTTGAATGAAGAAAGTCATCTGTAGCCCAGTGGGGCAGAGATTTGGGGTTTTACCTGTGTTTCATCCTGCACTGTCATCTGTGGTTTATTTGCCCATCCATTGAACGTTCATTGAGTACTTCACATGGGCCAGGGCCAGGAGCAAGCACAGAAACAAACGGAGGCCTGCCCTTAGGAATATCAAGCACACATGCCACCCCAGGCCCGCTCTAGGTGCCACGGAGCCCAGAAAGCGGGGAGGGAGACCCTCAAAGCTGCTGGAAGCCAGATTGTGTAGCCCAGAGTCGGGGGGTGGGGGGGTGGTGGTGGTGGTTATGAGCTGTAACCTGCATCTGATCTTCCCCTGCCTTCACAGTGTAGGCGTTAGCTGTAAAAAAATAACTTCGGGGATCCCAGTAGTTTCTGACAAGGCTTTTCTGGACATCTGTGCTGCTATTTCCCTTGCCTTCCAAGGATTCTTGGTGTGTGTCAGCTCACTAGATTCACTGGTGAGGTTTAGGGACTCGCCATTGTCTGATAAGGCCATTTGCCCAGTAATGTAGAGGTTATAGAGAATAGAAATGCATGTATACCCTAAAAGGAATAAATAAACTTAAGAAACCCTGTACCCTATTAAAATAAATATGCATGGCATGTGTCACTGGATAAATTAAACATATGGAGTTACGACTGAGGCTGGGAAAATCTGAAGCCAGGGAGAAGGGTGGGCAGGACTTGCCCAAGGGCAGGGGATTTAAAGTGGCTGCCTCTGTGGAGAGCCCTCAGGTCAGCCCCCAGTCCCTGGGGAGGACCAAGCAGGCTTAGCTACCTTCCACTCCAACCCCAGCCCCTCTGCCTCCAATTACTGTACATATATATGTAGCTTCTGAAAATTGCTTTATTTAAACAAGGGATTCTGGGGCAAAAAAAAGCTTGAAAACATTGACACATGAAGTGCAGAAAATTTGGCTGATCATTATAAACTTGATGAAGATTTTGTGTCCCGAATCTGAAAGAGATTCTAAAATATAATATTCTAGTATTTGGTCTCTACAGGAGGGGATGAACGCTTCCAAGTAAGCCATTTCCAAGTAATTCACAGATGTAGAGATGGTTAAAAAGTCCTCATACTGGGTGGGATATAAAATTTTTTCTGTTACATTTATGGAGAAGACTTGATATCTTCTGTTGGAGAAATAAGGGGCTCATTCAATTCTAAGATAAGTTTTTATTGTTTGGAGCTCAGAAATTCCTTTACAGTCAGAAAAAAAAACCCCAATAATGGCATTTTCATTTTGGGGAAAAGAGTTTTAAATTAAATTCTGAAATTCTGTTATGCGATTATAACCTAGTAATGTGAGTTAATCTTTTTGGTAAAATGAACACCCAACCATGTTTGTGTGCAGTGTATGCTTGTTCCAAGACTCTGAAAAGCTGGCACAGATTTGGGCAAGAAAATATGTCTATTTCTTCTCAATATGTCTACTGTTTGAATTAAATATATTGGAGATTGGTGTGATTCGGTCTGGATACTGACTTCTTTTTAGCAGTGCTCTGAAACATTTGAGGTTTAAGTTTTTCTAAACTTATTTCAAAATATATTATGAACCTTCAGCTTGGTAAGGCATCGATTACTTCAACATAAGCAAAGGAAGCCCCTGGGTTAAAGTGGAAAAGGAATAATAATAATTTTACTGGGACATTTGTTATCAAACTGCTCAGGAGGTAACTATGCCAACCAACTTATGTCCTTTACTTTTGGACAAAATTAATGTGACTTTCAGTGATGATCACTGCAAGTAAGTTAATACAGACAAAAAATTTGCATAAATTATTTACCTGCAGAAAGTTTGATCATGGATCCATGTGGTTCTTAGCTCATACCTTCAGTAGCAGAATGGCAAATGTCACATTTCATGACTGCTTTAATTTTCTTAATTGAATTTAGCTTAAATCCAATCAATTTCAATCCTTGGAGGGCATAACTTTAGTATTTGTGTATTCTGAAAATGAAGAACTGATTGAATATAGTCCTTTAAAAGGTTGCATACTTATTAGACTATGCTGATTCTAAAAGGAAAGTTTGTTATCCTGATATTCATTATTTAAATAAAATTACTAGTGAGGATAGAAATTTTCATTGGTCATTTTATCATTAGCAGTCAACTTTCCATTACCCTAGTTAGTAGACAGTAGTGATGATCCTATCTTACCGTCTGAGTTATTTTGAGGATTTGGATATTATTTTATAAAGAGAAGCAGTGAGTTTCACTCATCTGGTAGTGGTGGAAGGACTGGCGAGAACCCTGAGGTAATCTAAGCCTGAAAAATTAGAGCCAGAAGCGAGTGCTATTTTCCTAGGGAGCGGGTACATTTTCCTCATAATAATCTCCTTCACCCAAATCCTTCTTTGACTGTTAAACAAATGGCTTCTTAGGTCCGAACATCAGAGACAAACACAGAAAGGGAGCCCGTTGCCTTAACACATAGTCTCTTCCCCAAGTCCCTATGGAAGAGAGGGTTGCAGTTTAAAACGGGGGCTAGCTTGGCGCCCACCACCAAGGCACCCAGCCACATCCATTCTACCCTGTTAGGTGAGCTGGGCCACCGTGCCAGTGAGGCTGAGCTGGGCTGGCCAGCCAGCGAGCTGTCTGCTTTCAGCCAGGTCCAGAATTGACACAGAATGTCCACGGGACAGGCAGAGCTGCGAATCAGAGAGAAATAGTACTGTTTTGCCTTTTTTTTTTTTTTTATTAAGGATCCACGCTGAAGAAATTGGGAGGCAGTATATAACAGCAGTTAACAGCACATACTTAGGTTTAAATGCTGGCCATGTGACCTTGGGCTAATTGCATAACCTCTCTGAACTTCATCTGTAGGGGATACGAATACAATTTCACAGGTAGTCACAAGATAAAATATAAAAGCATTTACTTAGCACAGTGCCTGCTACATGGTAAGACCCAATGAATCATAGTGATGACTGTTATTATCCCTAGTAAACTCAAGGCTAAGTCTGACTGCTTACCGGAAGTTTTCATGTAATTCACTATCAGTAGTAGTCAGTTTAATTTTTCTTTTCTTCTCTTTTTTATTTTTCCTTCCTTCTTTCCTTCCTTTTTTTTTTTTAAAAAAAAAAAAAACATTCTTTCAGCCTGGAGTTACCTTTTGTAGAAAATAGAAATAAAAGGGTTAGATTCTGTTTTAACAACAAAAAAAAATTACTCATTTCAAGTAGCCCAACTGGAAGTGGCAAATGCAGAATTGATTTTTTAAAAAAGTTTAAATCTAGAAGTTCCCACTATGCCTTGGAAGCAGCAAGAGACTTCAGCAGCCTAAATGCTTTCCAGAAAGCTGGAGGAGAGGCCTTGGCCTGACTCGCCGTTGCCCTGGCAACAGTAGGGCCTAGAGACCTCATCCCTGATCCCTTAATCTGAGGAGCCTCAGTAAAGGTCCCCATAGACACCTGGCTAGTTAAAGCTACCCTAACTAACAGGAGGGACAGAGAAAAGATGGAGGTATGCCTCTTTCTTCTGCAAAGATAGCCTCCTACAGGTCTCTGTGATGGTCTCAGCTTTCCAGAACCCCAAAGGCTGAGCCTAGAGAATTAGGCCACAGAGTTTCCACCAGATTCTAAGTGCCGTCAAAGCAGTGATGGTTTCCTAATCCTTTTGTTTCTCCATGGAACCAAGCACAGTGCTTTGCACACAAGTTGTGCTTAATAAATATGGGGGGAGCTGTGTGAAGTGAGCATCCCCTAAGGTGCCAGACCCCAGCCTTGCTGCCCACCACCCAAGTGAGCGATCACAGACAACCCATTCCTTTCTGTCTTAATTTCTCCAGCTGTAAAATGAGAGGCTCAGCTCTAAGGCCTTTTTTTGCCTCTATAATTCTTTTATTCTCTTACTACATTAATAATTTTGGCAAATACATGGCACAGAGCATGTTCTGCTTGATATATTGTTTCCTCTAATTTTGCCTTAAATTTTAAACTCTGAGGATAAAAATGGAGTAATTTGAAAGAGGCACTGGCTTTCCCTTTTTCAATAACCATTTGGGTCCCAAGGAAAGAACTCTGTGGCCAAGCACATGGGCTTTGAAGTAAAAAAGACTTGAGTTCAAATCCTGGCTCTACCATTTGGTTGCTGTGTGACTTTGGACCTTCTTAACTTCTCTGAACCTTAAGATCTTCACCTACAAAATGAGTAAGATGATACATACAACAGAGTTATGAGGTGATGTATGTACAGTCTCCCAAAGTAAGACATGTTCAATAAATGGCAATTATTCTTTCTGGTACACAACTCCATGGGGCCAATGGAAATGGGCAAGTTAGGAATTTGAAAGTCTGGCTTTCTAATTAAAGGCACCCTAGGAAAGCACCCAGTAAGGAGGGGTACTACCCACTGCAAACTCTGGCGTGTGGCTGAGAGGTGAGTTTAAACCCCTGTCTACTCTGACAGCACGAGCAGTGTACTTGCCTGTGTGGTTTGATTTGCACTTCCTCACACTAAAATAATTTTCCTCTTCTGCCTGCTGGGGAAATTTCCTTGTCAGAGATTTGTTTTTTCAAAAATATACCACCAGCCCACGACCTACCTGAACTTCGGTTTTTACTAAGTTAAGCCATCATTAGCTAGAAGTTAATAATGAAATTAGCAAACTTTTATTGAGACTTTAGTAGGAACCAGTGTCTTTGCTATGTTTTTATTCTTTATGGTATTTAAGTCTCAGGACAATGGGAACTTTATTATCCCCACTGAAACAGATGAGGAAATTGTTGTTCTGTTAATTAGCTTGTGCAAAGCCACACAACTATCAAGTTTAAATCCACATCTGTCGACTCCAGAGCCTGTCTACACTTCAGTGACCATCCTCTGTAAATGTTGGCTTTGGACTGCTATGGAGTTTATAGCAGATGGAAATAGAATCACGACGGTGTCTAGGAGTTGGGATGAGGGATGGGATGATGGGAGTACAGGGTACTGGGCCCCTGGAAGGAAGAGGTGTGAAGAGGGGGTTAGAGCCAAGGAAGGGGCGGTAGGGGCACAGAGACCCGTGACAGCTCTGCATAAGAAGTAGCAGTCTTTGACTATATTGGATCCTTTAGAAAGCAGATGCCTAGGAAAAGAAAGCTCACAGCAAGGTTCCCACTGGCGCCCTGGGGGTGTCCTGGTAACTATAACAAATGAAGTTACTCTCTGAGCTTCTTCCTTGGATTTCACCCCAAACCACTGTGGTCTCCCACTCAAGTCGGAACATCTCCAGCACTCTTTGGTCCTCAAATCCTAGGACTAGCCAAGATTTGGTGCAGCAACGGCCCTCTGCCAAATATCTCCAAAATATCTCTGCTAACAGCTCTTTGAGGCTTCAAATAGCCTGGAGTTCAAAAGAACCATTTCTTGTGTCATCCCTTCAACCTCCAGCCACCAGTTCCATCATCTGTGACCTGTCCATTGGGCACGGCTGCTTCTCCCATGTCTGACTATGGAAGGTTTCCTTCTCCGTCAGGTTCAGGGTCCTGCTATCTATTTGCATCAGTTCTCTCTCCTGCTCAGCCATCGCCGATGGCTTCTCATACAAGATCAAATTCAAACTCCAGTCTTGGTCTTAGATCCAAGACTCCATCTACATCCCGTCTACTCCAAGCCAATCTTTGATCCTGTTTTCGCTCCACAAGCCCTCTCCAAAATCAATCCCTGCTCCCCACTTTCCACACTTTCTCCTTTAAGAAAACCCCCACCAGAGGCCTTGCTCACTGTTTTCTCCTCTATGGGCTCCTCCCCGCCTGGGATTTCACCTTCATGGAGAAGCTGCCCTGACGTCTCTAGGATCCTCCTGCAGCCTGCAAAGCACGTAACATGCTTGGCACTCAGTGCGTACTGCACACCAACGTACCTCCCTGCTCCTGGGCGTGACTACTCTCCAGCTGCTGCGGGAGATCAGGCCCGCACCGGCTGCCTCTCCAGCCCTTCACACCTGCTCAGGCTCTGCCCTCTCCTCTGGCTGCCTGCCCTGATGTCCTTCCATCCTTTTAGAAACGTTCAGTGTAAATGGAGAAGTCGTATCCTTTCAAATGTCAGCTCTTGGGCGGCTCTTCTCCTCTCTGTGCCTCAGTTTATGCATATTTATAGGGAGAGGAGAAGGCTGGGGATCTATGGTCCCTTCGGTCAATAAGGTAGCATCTCCCCCCTCTAGTTCCCTTTTCTAAACCTCCCCACGCCCCTCCTCCCTACCCCTAGGCTCATGACTTAGTCTGTCTACCTTCAGCAGTTCTTATCTCTCAGGCCTCTCTCTCTGCCTTCAGCAGAAATCCAGTCTCCCCAATTCTGCCTGAGCTGGGCACTCTGCTAGCCTCCACGAACTGTCCCTTCAAGTTGCCCGAATTCTCTCTGGGCCACTGACAAGCCCAGGAGCACAGCGAGAGTCAGTCGCTCTGTGGGCAACATAATATGCCCGCATTTTCTCTAGGCCTCACTGGATGGCGATTGGAAATGAGTACCTGGTGAAGCTAGGGTGCATTCGTGCATTTAACAAATCTAAAGAGAGTAGCTTTGGTGCAACATACAAATAACGAATAAAAATGTTCTGAACGGTGCCTTTTGTGGTTTCCCCCAAGATGGGCACCAGGAGCCTCTGCAGGCACCTTCCCTACACCTCCCCGCAGCCGGTCACACGCCCCTCCACCAGCCACCTTTCAAGCTGGGCAGGAAGGCTGCTTGGTCCTGAGGGAAGTGTCCAGCTTTTGCTGTAGGGCCATCTTTCCACCCCACACCTGTCTCTCTGCCTGCCTGCCTCTCCCACTGTCCTCAGACATCAGGGTGCCAGAAGTTTCTATTGTATTTCAAGCTCCTCAGTCCGCTTTTCGATTTTAAAATCGTTGGGATCTGCGTCCCCGTCACCCCCAACACAAGGAGTGAGCACATAAAAGGGACTCAACAGAACCTGTCGGCTGACACTAGGCACATGTCCCTGGGCCACCTTCTCAAGCCCTCCCCTTCAAAGCCAAACAAAAACGGCAAACAGGAAACGCTCGTCTTTTAAAAATTACTCTATTATTATCAAATAGAACCACAGTATCCAAAAGGTAATTATAAAGTTCTATCCCCATCTAAGTGGCCCTGCACCACCCCTCCGAGTGGCCGGCGGCCAAATCACTCCCCCCGTGCTGATTGGTTTCATCCATTTTATTGTCAAGGAAATTAACAGCCCAAAGGGGTTTCCCAGGTCCGCCCTCTCCCCTCTGGGGCCCCAGGTAAACACTGCAGCAAGCGACCTGGTCACAGGACCCCTGTGTCCTTGGGAGGAGGGACGAAAGGAGAGGGGGACTCACAGCAAAGGGGCTAGGGGGTGCCCTGCCCCGCTGGCTGGGCTCGGGGCCCTGCGGCGGCCAGGCCAACTGCCCAGGGGCGGGCTGGGCCACGCACCTGGCAGTGCACTTGGCCGGGCGGCGGCGCGGGGCGCAATCACTCGCCCGTGTGGGTCCGCAGGTGGTACTTGAGCGACTGCTTGTAGCGGAAGCACTTGGCGCAGTGCGTGCAGGGGTAGGGCCGCTCGCCCGTGTGCGCGCGCTGGTGCTCCAGCAGGTGGTGCTTCTGCGTGAAGCGCTTGCCGCACTCGGCGCAGTGGTAGGGCCGCTCGCCGGTGTGGATGCGCCGGTGCTCCAGCAGGTGGTGCTTGCGGATGAAGCTCTTGCCGCACTCGGGGCAGGCGTGCGGGCGCTCGCGCGAGTGCACGCGGCAGTGGTTGGTGAGCTTGGACTTCTCGCTGAAGCTCTTCTCGCACTCGGGGCACTTGAAGGGCCGCTCGCCCGTGTGAGTCCGCTGGTGGCGCAGCAGGTGCGACGGGCGGCTGAAGCTCTTGCCGCACAGGCTGCAGATGAAGGAGACCTCGTGCTTGCCCGCGTGCACGCGCTGGTGGATGACCAGGCTGATGTGCAGGCGGAAGCTCTTCTTGCACTCGGGGCACGTGTAGGGCCTCTCGCCCGTGTGCGTGATCTGATGCTTGGTCAGGCTTGACTTGTGGCTGAAGCTGCTGTCGCACTCGGGGCACTTGTAGGGCTTGGGGCCGCCGCCGCTGCCCGAGCTGGGCGACTTGGGGCGCGGCTTGAGCGTGTGCTTGGGGGCGAAGCCGGGCCCGCGCTCTGGCGACGCGTAGCCGCCGCGGACGCGGTGGATGCGCTGGTGCAGCGTGAGCTGCTGCTTGTGCCGGAAGCTGATCTCGCACTCGGCGCACTCGTAGGGCCCCTCCTTGATGTGGTTGCGCTGGTGGATGATGAGATTGATCTTCAGCCGGAAGCTCTTGCCGCACTCCATGCAGGTGAAGGGCCGCTCGCCGCGCCGGTTCCGCTGCTGCTGGCTGGAGGAGCCCCGGTTGTCGCTCAGGTGCCGCTCGCCGTGGGACACGGGCGCCAGCCTCTTCACTGCCGGGTTTCCCAGCTGCAGCGGCGGAGGGCTCTCCTCGCCCTCGGGGGACAGCTCCCCAGGCAGCGGGGTCTGGTACATGCTGGCCTCGTACCTCCCGGACAGCTGCCCGAGGGCCTGCAAGTGCTGTGGCAGCTCGTCGTCATCCTCCTCCTCCTCCTCCTCCTCCTGTTCCTCGGTTTTGATCACGATCCCCTCTGCTCCAGGGCCAGGGAGAGAGAGACAGCAAGAAGACGTTAGCTGTTGCCTAGCGCCCGTAACCTGGATCCAGGTGAGCATCGCTCATCCTCACCAACAAGAGTGCACAGACACTCGGCCTGAATTCCTCCCTCTGGGAAAAGCCTCTTTCCACTCCCTGCTGCCTGTGGCCCCACCCCCATGGGGCTGGATCTATGACCAACAGACCCATTTGGTTCAGGAAGGAGCCCAGACCCTCTCTTGCAACTTTCCACGGAGGAAGCAGGGAGGACTGCGTTCTCGTGATGGGAAGCTGGCACTGCTCGTGCCCGTTCACCAAGCTGCTAGCTAGCAGTAACCAGCAGGAAAGAAGGAAACCAGCAGGCGAGCCCTCCTGGGGGGCACGCAGGTCCCGGTGCCTGAGGCTGGCATACTCCTGGATAACATACCAGTTACTTATGAGCCTATGAACACTGCTTTTTCATTTAATCTACTACTTAAGGGTTGGGTTTCTTCCCCCATGTCAAGATGGTCTTGACCCATCAAGTTCTCAACCCTTCCACCCTGCAGTCATCTCTTCTACCCGAATTCTGCTCAGCCCCATGGGGCGGCTGCTTGCCTGCACTCACATGGAGATTTCTCTTCAGGTGCCTTTACCTACCCTCTTCTCCATGTCTCCAGGTCGTGCCCATGACTTAACACCCAGCTCCAATCCTGTCTTCTCCCTAAAACCTTCCTTAACGGTCCCCACCTGCAGCCCCCAACCCCTCCTGAGCTGGTGGTGGTGCACCTCCCTGGGTCTTAGGAACTGGGCCTTCCCTTGCAGCATCTCACCTGCACAGGCAGATGACTCACCTGCCTAGTCAGACTCTACCAACCCTGAAGCTGGGGTCGGGGGTTTCTTCTGCCTTTCCCACAAGCCCTAGTGTGCAGTGTTGTGAACACCCCCACTAAAGGATGTCCACTCCGCCCCCCTCCCCCTAGTCTGGCTCTTTAGGACCTAAATGAGGCTGTGTTCTGCAGAGGCTCACAGGAATGTGTACTCCTAGAGAAAAGGAATGGCCTTTGACACCTGTTTGAGTTTTCTCACGTGCCTTATACTTATTTGGCACTCCCTAAACACGGTTAATGGGGGACTATATTTAGTCACCGACTTGTTGTGGCATAAGAAAGTCACTCACTTTTCTGAGCCTACCTGTGAGATGGAGTATGCAATAATAGTCTGTATTTAGTTTGAACTTTTTCAAAGCACTTCACACCTGTTCTGTTTTCATATTCACATCTTATTACAGAATAAGTCAAGCAAGAATTATCCCCATTTCACAGATGTGGGGCATCCAAGCCCAGAGATATCAAGTGATGTTTCCAAATAAAGTAAGTCATAAACCTTTTCAGAGCTTGCAATTTGGGGACCATCTAGTTTATCCCCTCAACTGACAGACAAACTGAAGCTGGCAGTTTCCGTGACCTGGTCACGGTCTTGTAAGTTTGTTAGTGACTGCTAGGCCATAGCTCTTTCTACTACTTCTCTGAAGCCAATAAAATGCAGTGTTAAAGTTAGAACATAGGTGTGCCAAGACCCGGCTCAGGCCTCTCGCCATAAGACACGGCTTTCTCGGTATTGCTAGGATTCTCGGCAGGAAGTGACCCAGAAGGTCCTTTGAAAATGATGTGAAGATCAGGAAGGAGGAAGCAGCTTTAGAGATTGGTAACTAGTAGTCCTGGGGTTTGTCCTGAAAATAAGGGCTGTTTATGAAAGAAAGAGGGGGGAAATGTGGACCTTGGAGATTCAAACTCTCCTTGAGCATCAAACTTGTTTTTCTTAATGAAATAAGAATGGAATATGGGGCGGCTGGATGGCTCAGTTGGTTAGAGCACATGCTCTTAACAAGAAGGCTGCCAGTTCAATTCCCACATGGGCCAGTGAGCTGCACCCTCCGCAACTAGATTGAAGACAATGACAAGCTGAGCTGCCGCAGAGCTGATGGTAGGCGGCTGGATGGCTCAGTTGGTTAGAGCACATGCTCTTAACAAGAAGGTTGCCTGTTCAATTCCCACATGGGATGGTGGGTCGCGCCCCCTGCAACTAGATTGAAAATGGCGGCTGGACTTGGAGCTGAGCGTGCCCTCCACAATTAAGATTGAAGGACAATAACTTGACTTGGAGCTGATGGTTCCCGGGAAAAACACAAAAACACACTGTTCACCAATAAAGTTAAAATAATAATAATAATAATAATAATAATAATAATAATAATAATAGGCTTGAGTATTAAAAAAATAAATAAAAAGAAGACGGGAACATCTGACCCTAAAATTCAGGGTTCAAGATTCCACAAAGTACTGTTTACTAATTTTCTAAGGTTCTACTAAAATTAATGGGGGATGCTCAAAGGACAATCTGCAATTTGTATTATGAAACTCTAATTTACTCACAATTTGCCTTGTATCTTTCACAACTTTGTGAAAGACAACATGGTATATTAAAAAGACTTCTGGAATATCATGCAGTTATTTAAAAATGAGTTAGATCCACATGTTTTGACCAACAAGAGTGTCCAGATTTTTATTAAGTGCAAAAAGGCAAATTGCAGAGGAATTATCTACAGATAAAATTTTTAAAAAATGTTTTAAATCATCAACATAATGAAAATAGATGTGGCTATATTTCTAAATGTAAATACTACGCAAATTGATATGTTTAATGACTCCTTTACACATAAACAAAACATCCAAACCCAAACCAAAACCCAAGTGAGTTTTACCAAATTTTCAAGGAACACACTTAATTCCTATCTTATACTTTATTTTCAGAATATAGAAAAAAGAGCCAAAGCTCCCCAGTTCATTTAATAGGCCTAGCACAATTGTATTTCCAACACTCAATGAAAAGGATTCAAGAAAAGTTCAGGTTCATTTCACTTCGGAATCTAGTAGTCAAGTTCCTGAATAGTAGTTAACTAGGCCTAATAGTGTGTTTTAAAAAGACACCATGAGGACCTGCAACCAAGATTACTCTACCCAGCAAAGCTGTCATTTAGAATCAAAGGACAGATAAAGAGCTTCCCAGACAAGAAAAAGCTAAAGGAGTTCATCACCACCAAAACAGTACCACAAGGAATCTTAGAGGGACTTCTTTAAGATGAAAAGAAAAATTAAAAAAAAGATAAAAAATATGGATAAAGTGGCAACTAGATCTCTTAATTATTTTAAATGTAAATGGGTTAAATGCTCCAATCAAAAGACAGGGTGGCTGAATGGATAAGAAAACAAGACCCTTAAATATGCAGCCTGCAAGAGACTCACTTCAGATCAAAAGACACACACAGACTGAAAGTAAAGGGATGGAAAAGGATAGTTCATAAAAATGGAAATGAAAAATAAAAGCTGTGGTAGCCATACTGATACCAAACAAAATGACTTTAAAACAAAGGCCATTACAAGAGACAAAGAAGGACCCAGTTATCCCACTTCTGGGTATTTATCCGAAAAAAACCCAAACGCTACTTCGAGGGGACCTGTGCATCCACATGTTCATTGAAGCATTGTTTACATTGGCCAAGATGTGGAGGCAGCCTGGGTGTCCCTCAGTGGATGAAAGGATAAACAGGAGGTGGTTCATCTATACAGTGAAATATTGCTCGGCCAGGGATGGGAATGGGTCTTGCCATCTGCGGTGGCATGGATGGACCTGGAGGGTATCGTGCTGAGTGGAGTATGTCAATGGAGAAAGACAGATGCAATGTGATTTCGCTTACATGTGGAATCTAAAGAATGGAATAAACAAACAAAACAGAAAGAAATTCATAGATACAGAGAACATTTTGATGGTTGCCAGGTGGGAGGTGAAGGGTAATCCCTTCAAGAAGTACAAATTGGTAGTTAGAAAACAGTCACGGGGATGTAAAGCAGAATGGTGACTCTGAGGTTTTAAAATTAAACGAAAATGATGTCTACCGTATTTGCCGGCGTATAAGACGATTTTTTGGCCCTGAAAAATATGCCTCCAAGTGGGGGGTCGTCTTATACGCCAGGTACACTTCAGATAGACTGCCCATATAACAAACTCTGTATTTTGAGTGGAAATGTTAGGGGGTCGTCTTATACGCCCAGTCGTCTTATACGCCAGCAAATACGGTAGATTCTCCCAGAAAAAGACCGTACAGTTGGTCATTTAAAAAAATGTGCTCTGCAAAGGTTGAAATCTTCAAGTGAGGCGAGGCTTCTAGTGTGACGGAACCAGGACACATCAGGAGATGGAAGTTTTGCCGCTCTCTTGGGCACTGTATCTGACCTTCTCTGCCTGTAGAAGGAGGGGTTCCCGGCTGACCTAGTGTTTGGCTGTAATGCCTTCTTCCCAACCCGGAGACAGATTCTTATAATCCCTGAGGCAGGCAACCTACACCGAGGGAGGCGGTGCTTGGGGTCCTGCCACACCTGTCGCCTCAGCAATGTCTCCGCCCCCCAACTGACCTGTGCAGTGTCTCTGCTGTGCCAGCATCTGCTTGAGCTCGCTGAACTCACTGGAACCCTCCGTGGACTCCTCCAGCGCGTTTCCCGGCTCATGCATGTCCAGGTCTGGCTGCTCTCCGCACGGGTCCCCCAGCTCCGAGTCCTGGAAGCCATGCTCTTCCACCTGTCCCATCAGGGGTTCCGGCGTCTCCAGGCTCTCGGAGCCCTCGTCGTTGGTCTGCACCTCGATCTTAATCACAATCCCGTCGTGGGCTGAGAGAAGGTGCGAGGGAAGGACACGTTCATTCCACCTGCCCTAACATTTGCATTTCAAACACCCTTATTTTAGAGACCCTGAAGAAACATGATACTGAGTTGGCAATGAGTAGACAGAGAATTTAATTTTCTGGACGTTTTTGTAGCCTTGAACACCAATTCAAACTGGAATAAAGTTAACATAGATGCAAGGTTTGTTTTCTATGACTCCCTCACATTTTGAAATAGTGGTGTCAGGGTTTCTTTTAAAAAAGGTCCTTATTCCCTTCCCAGGTTAGGCCAGCCAAAGTCAAGAGTCTCTCTCTCCTCCTCACAATCAACCTGAATAAAGAAAAAGCTAATCACATCCTCACCCTTTCAGTACCGCCTCCCCGCCCCGCCCAAGTGCCCCCAACACTGACAGACCCCAGACCCCGTGCCCCCTCCTTGACCACATTTACAAGCAGGCTTGTGTACAACAGAGCTCTGGATTTGCTTTCAGGGTACACACATTACCCTGACATGTTTTTGTACCTGCCTATGAGTCTATAGGTTAATTCCAAATGTCATCACACACACAGGCATCATTTTACACAGATGAGATTATATAGCACACATTTTTGTTTTTTAGTGCAGAATTTTTTTCCCTTTTAATTTGCCTTCCCCTTTCCCTCGCTTCCCATTCCACAGTTATGACCTTCCCAGGTAACTCCTGTAACTAACCTAGTGTTTTTCTCTATGCTTATGTTGTTATTTATTGTAACACATTTGCATTTATATGTGTTTTTGGCCATTATTGGTTTTAAAAAATAAAATTGCCTTGTGTGTAGTCCTCTATCTTCCTTTTCTCACTCAGATAGCTTGTAGAAATCCCTTCAAGCCAATTCTGGAGGGCTAATGCATTCCTTTTAAAAGCTGCATGCATTCCTGGTGAGGATAATACTGTAATGTGTTCGCCATTCCCTTTATGGAAGCACATTCACTTTTTGTTCCCAGTCTTCTGCCATGGTGAACAACACTGCAATAAACATTTGTTTATTTACATATATCTAACTATAAACTCATGGTTTTATTTCTACGAGAGTCCCAGGAGTGGGGCTGCAAAGTCAAAAGGTGTCTGTATTTTTAATTCTGATAGATGTCCTCAGGCTGCTTTTCAACAAGCTGTGACAATTCATATTTCTACCAGCCCCAAATGAGAACATCCTTTTCCCCACATCTCTGCCAGCAACAGACACCACTGCTCTTGTAATTTTCCTCAATCAGATGGGCGTAAAGTGATAACTTCTGATACTTTAATTCCACTTCCCAGACTAGGGTAATCTGAATATCATGTATTTATTGGCCTTGATTTGATTCTGTGTCCATCGTATTCTGTTCAATTAGTAAGAGTCCTTTGATTTCTGTATTAAACATAACCCATTTTCTTTTATCAACATTTCAAGTATTTCCCCCAAATCTATCATTTGTCTACTGCCTTTGTGTTACCCTTTTACCACACAACTTTCTTTAAGTTTTCATATTGTCAGATGTGTCCTTCTTTCTCTTTATGGCTCCTGGGTTTTCTGTCTTAGTTGAGAGGGTCTCCCCTGGTCCTAGATGGTTCTTTTTTATTGTTCAGTTATTTACATTTAGGTCTTTACTCCACCTGTAATTTATTTTTGTTTTGTGCATGGTGTGAGGTAGGGGTTCCACTTTATTTTCTTCCATATGGGTCGAGTTGTGTCAGCATAAACCCCCTTACAGGCTGAAAGTCACTTTGTTAATCAACTAAATTATAAATGTATAATGCAGACACATATCCATTCATTCATTAAACATTTACTTAACAGGTATTTATTGAAGATCAACTAAATGTCATGGGGTGTTCTAATAGCTTGAAGATACATCAGTGAACAAGACAGACCTCCCTGCCTGATACAGCCTACATGAGGCAATAAACGTAACGAATACATGCTATGGTATGTTAGAAGGTGGTTAAGTGCTGTGAGACAAAGAGAAGAAACCAGGAAACCAATGGGCAAAACCAATAGTTCCTGCTTTGCTCTTTCACCAAATCCCCTAGTCTTTCCAAAGTAGAGTGGACCACATCGCTGAGAAAGCAAACAAGTATGCTGCTAACTGGGCCACAGGACCTCAGACTGGGTTCTTTCTGATGTTTGGCAATCCTTTAATTCCTCTCTGATTAGCCAACTCAACACGTTTGGGAGAAGACAGAACATAAAGCACTGCCTTCCAGCCTTATATGTAGACCGAAGCTACTTCCCCTCAGAACTGTCTCCAGAGATGTCTTCTCACTCTCCAAAGTCATCTGCATCCTATTCTCAATCTAAAAAAAACAAACAAACAAAGCCATCCACACTTACATCCTGGACTTTCCCCTGCTCTGGCTCAAGGTCTCCATCTTGACCCCCGGTTTCTCTCCAATCTCAGGCAAAGCAGTGTCCCTCCTCTCCGCCTCCTGCTTCCTTAATCCTGCCCACTCTTCTCTCTGGAATCTTACTCCATTGGTTGTGCCCCTTTTCTTCTCTATCCTCAAGCCTTGTCTGCACTCGATCCACAAACATCTCCACGACCCCAGCATCAGAAAAATATCTTCTCTGACTTCACAAAATCCTCAAAATATTTTACTTGCTTCCTCCCTAAAATAAAAATTTAAAACTATGTACCCATTGTATCTTTTTTGAATAAACATATAAAATGCTTCAACAACTGCAAAAGATGTCATTTCTGGAGTATTGTAAATATTGATATTTTAAAATAAACTCTTCCATCACTCGCCAATGGAATCTAAGAACCCTAGCAATTTTAAACCCTCCATTATTCACTTTAAAAATATATGAACAAGTTCTTCTTTGATAGTTGAAATTTTTATATCATTCCTTTCCACCTTGAACTTCTATTTCCATTCCTACTTTGCCCACAGAATTTTATCCTAATAGAACATATTTTTATGCTTAGAAGTCTTTTCCTGATCACCTCATCTACCACTCTGCCACAAAAATGTAAATTGAAGATTAATTTTGCTTTCATTTCTAATAACCACAGGGCTCCAAGTGTTATTTTTTCCCCTGGCTTAAGTTATCCTTAGTTATTATGCCTGTAGAATGATAAGCAGTCATTTAAGATAGAAAACAAAAAAAATTGCTGGAAATATTTCTCTTATAGGGATGGGTAGGGATTTCCCGCCCCCAATTAGTTCACTTAATCTGAGAATGAATATTCTCATTGTTTGAATGAGACAGAGTCCAGAATCCCATCTATTCCCATTTTTCATTTGTATAAATATTAATACAAGAGTTGGGAAAGCTCATTTGCATAGACATGTAGACGGGACGGCAGGGGCCGTGCTCTGGAATCATCACTCGGTTCTCTGAACTTCTGAGTTACAATGCTACAAAAGCACATGGTTAACATCTCATCAAAAATTGATTTTAATGACCTATTAGCTGACAACTTAGTTTCTTTTTCAATTCTGTTGAAAGCAAAGTATTGCAAATGATCTAACTTGCAGAAGAATTCACCATCTAGGCCCCCAGGCTCCAGAGCAATGAACTTGTGGTCATGTACCCCCAACATTCAGGACTGTCTCTTTGTTTCATGACCCAGAGGGCTTCTTATACTTCAGACAAATACTCCCTAATAAGAAGGGATGGGGGAGGGGGACGTGCCTGTTCTTTCTCTGTTAATAGTAAGGGATGTAGGAGACATGGACCAGCATTTCAGGGGCCGCACGTGCTATGCCGTCTTGCTAATGAGTTTTATGAACGAGAACAGATGGACTACTTGAACCTCCAATACCATCTGTTGTGTCTCTTTTGGACCCTGTACTGTCAAGGGCATGGGTACCACTGCCTTCCAATACTTGCTCCCATCTGAAGACCCCATTCCAAAGTCCCCCACTCCACCAAACTTCTTACAGTGCTCTCAGCTGAACACAACTGTGCTCTTCTCTGAACCCCAAGCACTTTTCTGCTCCTCTATGGCATTTAATTATTTTTCCCTTAAAATATGCAGTATTTACACATTTTCACACCTCCTCCTCAATTTGCTAGACAGCAGGGAAGCCAGTTGTTTCCTCCCAAAAGTTCACCCCACCCAAATGACTTTTCAGAGTATTGATAACCAACTTGCATTGATAAGCAGTAATTTGTTCTCCCATTTAAAAAACTAATTGAAGGGGCCGGCTGAGAGGCACGTTGATTAGGAGTTGCTTGGGACGCCAGCTCTGAGCAGCAGGGCCCCAGTTCAGATCCCACATGAGGGCCAGTGATGCTGTCCTCTACAGCTGAGATGGTGAACAACAGCTCAACCTAGAGCTGGGCTGCCGGGGGTGGCCGGCGACCGCGTAGGCTGCAGTCCCTGCTGCAGTGGGCTGCCATCCACTACTGTGTGTGGCCAGCAGCCAGCAGCCGGTGTGAGCTGCCAAGAGCCGCCATGAGCGGCCGTCCAGAGGCCGGCGACCAATCTGCCTCACCCAGGAACAGCACAATGATGGTGCCAACTTGGGCCAGTGGGGCAACGTCCTCCACAACTAGACTGAAGAACAAAACGACAGCAGCTTGTCTGTTCCCCTTCCCGATTTCCCAGTGCTGTTCCCCTCCCCCAATTTCCCAATAAAATCTTTTAAGACATTTTTAAAATAAATAATTGAAGACACATACCTTGTGGGAATATATTGGGTTGTCGGAAAAGTCATGATGCAGTTTTTACAACGAAAAACAGAAAAATATATCATGATTTTTGCGACAGCCCAATAGTTTGGTATCATTTAAAAAAGCTGTAAATAAATGAAGTAGAGACAACTGGCTTCCTGACTTGGGAGGAAAAAAAAAGCTACCTTCACATATCTCACATCAAAATTAATTATTGATGAGTCAAAAATTTAAACATACATAATAAAATCATACTAGTATTAAAAAAAACACAGCCTTTTTTCTTTTTTTCAACTTTGAGCTGAGGAATAGGCTATTTCTAGACCTCTTGGGACCGCAGATACTTCTTCTGGAAGCTGTCTG